GAGAAGCTGACATACTGATTTCCAAAGAGGCTGTACAAGTTTGCACTCCTACCAGCAGTGAACGAGTTTTTCCCTTTCCCACATCTTCTCCAGTATGAGCTGTCACTTGTGTTTTTGATTTTAGCCATTCTGACGGGTGTAAGATGGAATCTTAGTAGTTTTGATTTGTGTTTCCCTGATGGCTAGGATGTTGAACATTTCAGTGTTTCTCAGCCATTTGAAATTCTGTTGAGAATTCTGTTTTGATCTGTACCCCATTTTTAAAGACTTCTTTATATATTTTTGGAAATTAATCCCTTGTTGGATGTCAGATTGGTGAAGATCTTTTCCTGTTCTATAGGCTGCAGTTTTGTCCTATTGACAGCTTCTTTTGCCTTACAGCTTTCCAGTTTCACGAGATCCCATTTATTCTTTTATTTTATATATATATATATATATATATGTGTGTGTGTGTGTGTGTGTGTGTATACATATACATACATACATACATGCATACATATAAAATTTGGTGGTTTTTGCCCTAACCCTATAGGTAATTTGCATATATATTATGGCTTCCCATTTTCTGATATTCCTGAGTATGCAAATGAGTGCATCTTTGTATTTTTTCCTTGGGCTCTTTTCCCTTCTGTTTTTGTCCTACTCCAATGTGTTGGTTTTCATTTAATCTTATTTTATTTTATTATACTTTAGAAGCCTGTTCATTTTTAAATAAGAGGGAGAAAGGGTGTGGATCTGGATGGGAGGGGAAGTGGGGAGGATCTGGGAAGAGTAGAGGGAGGGGAAACCATTATCAAGATTAATGAAAAAATCTTGTATAAAAGAAAACAATTTCTCCTTTGGCAAATCTATTTAAATGTGTCTTCTTATTAATCAAGATCATCTGAATGATGATCTTTTCTGCAATCTTATATTTTAAGCTGTCTATCATATTTCAGTGACTTTACATTGCATTTCATATTTTTAAAAAAAATACCATAACTATTAGCTTACAGACCATTTAAAATAAGAGCTATTCAGATTTTACATGTGGGCTACAGTTTATAGACAACCCCTCCCCATATTTAGGAGAGAGGATTAGTTGTTGCTTACTCTTGTCCATCAACTAGAAATAGTTGATTGCAGTCCCAACACTTGAGAACCTAAGGTGGAAGAACACTTTGATCTAGGAGAAGCCAATATGAGCAATAGAGTAAGACCCCGTCTCAGTAAGGCAAAAGCTTTTCTCTGTTATCTTCCACAGAGATAGTAAGTCAGACCACTTGTTCAATGGCAGAAGTGAGTGAAGTGAATTTTGATAAAATTTTAAGTTATTACAGACCTATTGAAAATGAATGGTCTGTAGATAATGACTGACATTTCTTACCTGGATTGCAATCTGCTAACTTGCTGGGGTAGTTCTACTCATTGTTAATCAGCTGGAGGCTGATACCTGTACCAGACATACGCATGGAAAGGGGACAAAACAGAAAAATAGCATAATTAGGTAGAAATCTAAACACTAGACTGCATATTACTATACGGATCTACATAATGCCACATTCTGATACCACAGCAACTCAATAGGCCAGCTTGACCTTTTAATGCATGGGAGACTATAAGGTTTTCCTATAGTTTTTAATTCCATACCAAATTTTGCTAAATCTATCTCAGAACTACTATGAAATTCTAATTGCTAGATTTCTTCAGCCATTTTATCGCCATCATCTACTCTGTAAACATTTACTTTAATCATTTACTGTACATGATAGGTACACACTTTTAACTTTCTTAGTATATTCAAGCACTGGAGTAAGAATAAGAATTAAGGAATTCTGGGCAAAAGAACTTGTAAATTAATGTCAATAAACCTAATATGTAACGAAACAAGAGTAAGATGGTGTTTCCTAAACCATGCCCTTTTCACACACTATGAATTCCCAGATAGAAATAGGAGGAATGGGGTATTATGTACTCAGCAGGCTCTAGAATTGCACCAATGTTATTATTTCTGTGGAAAAAATATCAAGTTACATTTAGAAGGGATAATGTGTAACATGTATATAATAGTATTTAGACACTTGTAGAAATAAAATAGACATCATTTTCAGATATTTTTCCTGTTGTTGATGAAATACTGTAACTTTTAAAAATTGTTCATTTTTCAGGTTAAAGACTTTTAAAATATTTTTGTTCTGAATTTTTATTGTTTCTGAACATAAAACTTGTTCTCACAGAACCATGACTGCTAGCTTCCTATTTTTTATTCCTATATCACTATTTGTGCACAGAAGAGACATTGTGGATAACTTACAGGTATTGGCTTTTTGAAGACACTAGTATATACTGGTTTATTTGCCTATAACAGTAAATAGGTACTGAGAAGATGGGGGATGAATTTGGGATTTTGTTTTGCTTTTAGGTTTATGACACAGAGTCTCATGATGCAGCCAGTTAAGGCTGGCTTGAACCCATGATCTTCTTGACAACCCCAAGGAGCTGTATTTACACAAGTACACCACCCTGATGCCGATATTTTTAATGGACTTGAATTTTCTTCTGGCTGTAGATTTGTAGCTAAAACCTCACTTGTGACATGACAGGAAGCTTAAGCCTGTAGTTACCATAGATCGCCACAAGATGGACCTCTTGGTCTTAGGTGGTCTTTTTCTTCCTGATTTAATGATCCAAAAAATTATTCAGGTAAGAAAGTTTTTAAATTCCTTAAATTTTCAAAAATTACCTTAAAATTACAGATTTTTAAGTAAAGTTTTGTAAGCTTTTTAAGACTAGTATTACTTGCATTAAATTTTTTTTGCTTTATTTAACAAAAATATAAGCAATTGATTTGTGGAATTGAATCCTAAGAACTTCACTCCTCAGAGCCACTAGTTATAAAGAATTCTAAGGCAACAGAAACACTTAAGCCACTGGATTTGAATATAAATTTTGTTTTTAAACTCAAATCTCATAGGTAACCGAATATGTGTATCACCATGTCTGTATAGTTATAAATTGCTCTGTATAGTGTGTACTTCTGATTTGGAAGGTACTTGGCACATGTTATATACTTAGTCACTGTGGAGTTAAGTTGATGTGGTTGATAAACATACTTGATTCACATTTATCTGTCAACCATTCTAGTTCCCTGTACAACATTCATAGGAATATGAAACGCATAAGTATAGCTTGAGGATAGTTAGGATTAGTAAAACCAAAATGGTACATACAAGCTGGGAACTTTTGCCAAAACCTTCATTAACTAAATTTTCTATTAGTCTTAGTTATCTTGTAACTTCTGAGGTTAACCAAACCTGAATCATTCTTTGGATATCCTATAAATAACCATAACACTTTATTAGCCATAGCTATGAGACTTGACTGGAACAGAGACGTAGAGGTTTGTGTGTCCACCGGGTCACCTCTACAAGGGGCCTGCTTGGCTCTGCTCTAAGTTAGCAGTGTGGGCCATTTGACCACAGCAGGTAAGTACAGTTTCTAAAAGAGCAGCAGACTCCCCTTTGTTCTGTTACGGGGTATTTCTGAGAGATTATGTCAGGTTCTTTGTTGTTTTGTTTGTTCAAAACTTTGATCTGCTCACCTTTTAAACTGAGCAAAATATAAAATAGGAGCTGCTAATATGTATCTTGAAATAGCCAAAAAGCATGCTTTTTTGTTAGCTGACCACAACTGAGGCATTGATAGACTCTGCCATATGCAAGTGTTCTGCATGCCTGTGAAATTCAGTTATGGCTTCCAGTTGGCTTTATTCACACACAACATAGAAGTGGTAAAGGTAGAACCTTTGTGCTGTCATTTCTTATTTAAAAGTTAATTCAACTAATAAAATGTTTGCTAGTATCAGAACTGATCACAAGATCACAAATCTCTTTAGCCAGAGCACTGCCACAGATGTCAAGGAGGTTTCAAAGACCAATAGGATCTCCAAGCAGTCTTTCGAAGAGCTTGGAGAGCCGTGAGGTGTGGCAGACCCTTGGTTAGTCCTAGTGCTATTTACCTAACACACCGAATGCTGAGAATGTGCTAAGTTCATGCCAGCATCTTAGCTACTTTACCTCATTTAGACATTACAGAAGTGCTGAAATCATCCTAGAAAGCAAAGCACTTGGCTGGAAGAGCATAGAACCTAAATTTGATTGTAGGTCTCTGAGCTTTGAGATCATGCTGCAAGCCATTATTTCCTGTTGGCCAGTATATTGGGTAGAAGGGAAGGATGGCTTCTTTTGAAATGATTTAAAAGCAAAACACTAAGAACAGTAAACAACAACAAAAACCCCACAGCTAGTCTAGGGGGATGCTAACTAGCTAACTTTCTCCCCTTGTACTAGAGTAAAGTACTACTCCAAATTTTCATCTAAACTGTTTTTAATAGGAGTTTTGACAATGCAGTCAAATAAAAACTTACAACTCTAAAGAGGGCATGGATTTTCATGTTGGTAGGATTTCCAATAAGTTGCTTCTAGATTAAATGCACTCAATACTCCCCCCACAAAATTTCAGTTAACTTGTAAAAACAAGGTAAGTAGTTTTTCAAGGCACAAACCTTCATATTCTAATTTGACAGAATCTATAGAGAACAACATTGGAATTTTCATTGTGTTTAGACTATTAAGGTTCAGAGGTGTTAAGAACTGACTTTTTTCACAGTTCCCAGCTATATCTCATCCCACCCCCCAAGAAAATGAAAGCCTGGGTTCATTTCCTGCAATAAGTAGTCATTTAATTAAAGAACAAAAGTAACAGGAGTCAAAATGTTGGAGCTGTATTATTTGTTAGACATCATATAAAAAAGAGAAAGTATAGTACAGTAAATCACTCTATAACATGAACTTAGTTTTCAAATCATCAGGATAAAAATGTCTTTTCAACAAAATACTGAATGACACTGGGTCACATGTCCCTCATTGCAGAGGCTGGGAATGTGAGCCTGCACATGCATGTTGCCCATCCTCCATGACACTGCAGAACTGTAAAACAAGGTTGAAGGCAAACAAGTTTTCTTCTGGGAGAGTTACTCTGGGCCTTAAGTGACCCCAACAGTTCACACTCCTCAGACACCAAAGAAGGGAGTGTGTCCTCTGGGTTGCTCCTCTTGTAGGTGAGCAGTCAGGATTGTGCCTCTGTGCGATTCTGCTCTTCTCACAAACACAGCAGTTAGTCTTGAGGAAAGTTCCCTGATGAATGTTCAGTGTTGGTATCAAAAATTAAACACAAATTCTTCTCAGAAGAAAATCTCTATGGCCTGTGGAATCTAGAAATTATTTTTAAAATTAGTTATTTGTAACAGTTAAACCACACACACACAAATCCAAAAAAAATTAAAAAAAAAAAAACTTCCAACAAATTTATTGCTACTCAAAGTTTCTCAAGTTTATATATAAGATTTCAAGAAGGGAGTTGCTGTAGCTGAATAGCCGCATAGATCTCTTTATGACCAACAACTCAGTATGAAAGCTGCTAGTGGGGTTCTCTGTATAGACAGAGACTCTAGGTCTCTACCTGGGATCATCTGTTAAAAATAGCTTCAAATTAGTAACAGGTTCATGATAATGTTTAATACAACCAAGAAACTTACATGAGGCTCAAATACTGAGTTGACTTTGTAAAGCTGCTATAAAGTCATAAAATCTGAATTTTAGGTTTGGGGGCTCATTATTTAAAATTCTATCATTGAAAAGGCTATCAAGAACTTATAGGAACAAAGGTTGGTTTCTATACACAGGATTGTCTAATTCCTTAAAATGAGCATGAAAATGTGTTTTAAAGAATTTTATTTCCTAAACTTATGTTAAGAATGGTAAGAACTTGGCTGATCTGTCCAGTATGAGAGGAAACTTTAAAATTTTTAAATGCATAATTTCCTTGCAACCCTGATACAAGTGGGGAAGTTTCGTTGTTATTTTCTGTTCTGTACCCATAGACATAGCTTATGGAGCAAATTTTTTTTTAAAGTAAGTGTAAGTAGCCACTTGGGATCCATCACTGCAGTTGAAGGCAGTGTACAGAAAGAGGGTTGCTTTTCTTTTTCCATTTGGAGTTTGAACATTCTTCAAGGAAGGTGACAATGTGTTTGTATTGGCTAAGTTCTCATATGTCTCTAAGTCCTGAGAGAAGGACTTTGAAAGTTTGCATAGCACATGAAGGAAACAAGTTTTTCTTCCAATTTCTTCTGTGCACTAAATAGCATGGGCATAAAATGTGATGTTCAGTTTGATGGGGAAAGTTGGGCAGAATGCCTGACTCTGGCTGACTGCCATAAGCCCCACAGAAGTAGGCGTTTTCTTTGTATGTTTCACTATCACAGCCTCAGCACCTGAATATGCTACACATAGTAGATTATCAAATTCATGCTGAAGAAATGAATGCGCTTTCCAGTTGGTGAACAATATTAATATCAATATAGATACAAGAAAATGGAGGGTGATTTTGCAGCAAACTAGATATGGCAAATTCTAAAGTTAATTTATATTATTTGGAGTTAAGTACCTAAGAAAATTTTAAGCTGAGACCAATTTTCTGAAACATAGCATGTAGTGAGATGTCCACCCTGCCCACACCTGTTGCACTGACTACATCCATTGGGGTGTGGGGAGAGGTGCAGATGTGACCTCGGGGGAGTAGGTCTGAGATGTTGGACCCCAGCTCTCTCTCTCTTGCTTCCTGGTTTGAGACAGAGAACATCCAGAGGCATCCTTGGAGCAGGAACCTGTTACTGGTCATCTGTTTATGGAGTAAGTGATTTCTCCCCTAATAAACATCCATCAGCCTATCATTTTCCCAGATTCTTATTCACCCTTGCTATATCAGCAACTATGCACTACTAGGTATCCCTTTTCAGTACCGATCCCTACTTTTAATAGTTTTCCAAGGAAGTTCTGAGTATAAAACTCCTTGTGGCCAGACAATATGCAGTTCATGCAACAGAAAATTACCTTGTCAAGTGCTTGCTGGATGCATGTACCTCCATTTCATTACTTTTATACTCATTTAATTCTTTACGAATTGCTGCCTGAAATGTAAAAAGTATAGATGTTCAAGGTAACAAATTACCACCTTTACATATTGTCAACCATTAATATCTGCATACACTGTGATCAATAATCAGAAAGGGGGGTGCGCTTCAGTGGCTTAGTCAGTGCTTGGTACTTATAATCAGAAAGGAATTAATTTGCCGTATTATAATGGGGCAGACAACCCACACTAACAGAGGAACTTAAAGCAGACTTGGCGAACCACTGAATTATAAGATAAGCTTTTGATCGTCTTGCTATTGGGATATCAGAAAACCCACACGTCACTGGAACTTTTGAGCATATATTTCTATCATGGTATGGCAGAAGCAAATAAGCATCTGGTTAAAACCTGTAGCCTGGCCTCCCTACATAATCTATCATGACCGTTTCTCAGATGAGCCCTCCTGGGTCCAGATGAGATGAGGATGTATTGGAAACCCAGAAAACCTTTAAAGTAAGATGGTTTCTTGCATTCAGATAACACTGACTGACTGCTAAAGATATTCTTTCCCTTTGATCACCTAAGCATGTCCAACTCCATTGTAACAGCATTTCTCCAGGTTGATATAATAACTGAATATTTCTAAGCATATGTAGGAATAACTAATTCTGTGGTTATGTAATTTTTCTCTTCCAAGAAAAGTATTCTGAAAGCTTTCTCCATACTTCTGGGCTAATGTCCTACTAGATGATATCATTTGAACATTAACGGTCACTTACTCTGTGGGTCATTTTATTTTCTTTATACATCCCATACAAAGTTATGCAGTTCCCACATCCATTGCACATGCCATTTCTTAGGGGGACATTGTTGCATACTCTGTGATGCCCACTCATTGGCTATGCCAGGTACCACTTGCACTGATAAACTCAAATGTCTTAATGATATTGCCAAGTGTCCTTCAGAACAAAACTGTCCCCCAGCTCAATTCAATCCAAAATTATCTTCATTAAACCAAGAAGATGTAGGAAATAATTTTACCTAATGGTTCACATTGTCTAAGAAAACCCAGGCCTGGTTATGTGACACCCCACTCCCCAACCAGCACAGAAGCAGTGTACCTTATCTGCTGCTGACAGTCTTGTCCAGGGTTTGTCTGCCCTCCTGTCATAGTCCTGTGCTCTTGCTACTTCCACATAGTCACTGAAACGGATCAGAATTTTTCTGTCTCTCAATTCATCTACAGTGGGTCTCTGATTAAGCTAAAATAAAAGATGATTATAGTTAGGTATTATGTGCCACACTTCTTGTAGTAAGCAATATATAATCTACAAACAACTGTACTTGAGCTACCAATGAGCACATTCTCTAATGTGATTTAAGACTGTATTAACCTTTGCCTAATCCCTTTCTTCCAACACTTGCCTGTCCTGACAGAGCAAATGGTCACGGAGTGGTTGGCAGTCTATAATGCCAACTACCACTCTCATGAACGCCTGGAAGGCTGCTCTGGTAGCTCCAAACTCGAGAGCACTGGCCTGGGTCAGTCAGACAGTGGAGTGAGAATGACGAAAGGTAGTCAGGTTTGGGGAGTTACTTCCTAGACCAGCCATTGTAAATTAACTTGATGTCCTACAAACCCTTGAGGCTGACATTTTCTGTAATCAGAGAACTAAGGCAACTAAGAATGACAAGTCTAAAAGGTATGTGGTCGTTCGTAGTGTGTAAAAGAATAATGTTTAATTGCTTACTAGCAAGGAATTATAAGTGGTATTTGGGTGTTATTGCCTTCCCAAATGATTGTCATTAGGGCCTCACCACCTAGGTTCAGTTAGACACTGGGACATGTGCAAAAGGCGCTACTTTCAGAGCAGCTTGACCCCTTGTTGCCTGGGAAAGCACAAAGTCACAGCATGCCTTGTATTCCCCATCAAAGTGCTGCACAAGATTTCTCCAGTTCATATCAGTTTATAAAATTTAAAGGTTTTGATTAGAACCCTGTGCAGGTTAGTTCTGTCCACTCTACATAAGTTAGGGTCATCTTGGAATAGGGAATGTGAATGGTGAAACTGCCTCCATCTAATTGGCCTGTGGGTATGTTTGTGTGGACATTTTCCTGATGACTTATGTGGGAGGGCTGAGCCAACTGTAGGTGGTGCCACCCCTGGCCAGGTGGCCCTGATAGGTGTAAAAATGACCTGAGCAAGACAGAAAGCAGTTTTGCTTTAGTTCCTGCCTCCATTTCCATTGACTATGACTTGGAAATATAAACAAACCCTTCCCAATTTGCTTTTGGTCATGGTGTTTAACACAGAAAGCAATCTAGGGCGATACCTTTCTTGTTAGTCTTTGCTTGATTTCTCTCCTTTCTTCCTGTTCTGTCTGATCATTCCTTTCTGTGAAAGATAAAAACAGAGATAGAAACAATTTGAACATTTATTATCACTAAAGCAAGCACCAGGTTTCCCTAGGGCTACTTTCTTCTAGATGCCATCTTTTGATGTATCAGTTTGTTTTTGGAGTTACTTTCCCAAAAGCTGCTCAGGACGTGCTGGCCTGATCTGTCACGTATGATCATCCTTCCTAGTCTAATTCTTCTCTGCTCTATACAGGATAAGTATGTTGTTGCTGCTTACTTCAGAAGAGCAGCTGTCTGTTGGTCTTCACTCATTCAAATATCTGTATATTTATATCGAGGAACATTGGGAGTATACAATTGCTTTAGCACAATAATCAAGCATATGTTCATCTCTAAGACACCGTTGTATCTTTTGTATTTCCATTTTACAAGTGTGTACACCTTCCAGACAACTAACATAAAACATGAACTTCAGATTCTGGTCAGCATACTATCAAATGTGAACATACAACCCAGCTGATTCTCCATTGTTGAAGTATACATATTTGCATATGACAATACTTTCTAAGGTGCTAAAGGCCCTCAGAGTGGCTTTGCCTCTTGAGTTGTGTCCACACTATACTTGGGGGCTAAAGGTAGGCCAGCATGTTGAAATACTATAGTAATGTAAGCCTGGCCGTTGGATGCAGAGAGAAGAATGCATTCCTATTTCTGGCACTCTGGTTGCTAAATAAAGACTCAGGTCCTCAACCTTAACAGAACTCCTGCCTGGAAAATATATCTTAACCCACAAGCACACAGAACAGCAGCATACCCCATGTTTGGGGGAGGGAACCCTTGGAGTCTATACTTAACATAATTTTACATTATCTGTATTTAAATGATGCATTTCAAACACTCGTGTATTGGGGAAACTGGGTGTGGTCATTTAATGCATCTGACTGTGCTTTTCAGTTGTTGTTTTTTTTTTTCCCTTCCCATTTAAAAAGCTATCTTAGAATTTTAGAGAAAACAAAATCATGTTACATGCTTTGTTCTTTAACTATAAGTGGTAATAGAAAATGCATTGTTGTAAGCTGTGGTCACAAAGTGAAACAACCAAGAAACCCTGACAATGTCATTAGGACAGCACTGAGAGGCTGTAGCATGGAAGCAGTTCTGTTTTCTTATAAAGGCCCTGGACAAACCCCAAGTATAGTCTTCTTGGGAAAAGACTGAGGAAAAGCAGGATCCCCATTCCCCCTTAATTGTGAAAATGAAGATATTACCACTAAGGGTAAGTAACACCCTTTGGAGAAATTATTCCAGAACTTTGGACAGCTCCATGTGCCTCTCCACAGGGATCCAGGGATGTGTGAATACTTCATATGTGGTGGCTAAGAACTTGGACAGCCAGGAGAGGTGAGCCAGTATTCTTGTGTTAAAATGTCACATTTCCTTGGGGCCTTTAGCTGCTTCACTAGTAAAATGGGGACTACAGTACAACTTTCAGATTTTGGCAAGATTAAGGAACACATAGTCAATTAAGCCACTGGTATGTCTCCTCTTTAAGGGGAGAAAACAGGAAGTTCAGTCACAAGTGGAACTCCATGTAGTGTGCATAGCTAGATGTGCTGCTCTTATTCCATATGTGGTAGCCCAGTCCTTGCCACAGAACAAAATAGAAGGACACAAATCAGATAGTGGGCTCCTCAGATCCTCCCACTCAATACACTTGACAAGGTTTCTGGGCTAAGGATAAATCTGGCTTGGTGGCAAAGGCACTGTGTTTATAATGTGTTGCCATGGCCATCACAAGGAAAATCCACTTCTGTGTGCTGAAGGTGAGTGCAGTCAGTCCAGCTGCTTGCTAGCTCTACTCTCCAAGCAGAATCTATTTTTAAGACTTGTTTATTTCAGATGGTATCAATTAGAAGCACAGGTTTGGGGTGGGGCTGGTACACACACTGCTATGGAGGGGGTGAGGGTGGATTGGGCCTGGAGTTCTCTTCCTGTCATGATACTGCACCTATAGTATGGCATGTCCTAAACCTGGAACTCCCTTGTTCAAATCTAGACCACACATTTGAATAATATCAATGATATAAGTTTTAAATAAGTGGCTTTATGTTTTAATATCCAAACATTTGGTACCTAAAATATCTTGACTCCTGTCGACTTGATGAAGCATAGTATCAGCCACAGTCTAGGCAACATAATAGCACCACATAAGTTTAAAGAAGGAATTCCTAATCTTGGAGGTTCCCCCCCCACACAGCAATCTACTAAGGAGGGGATAGCTCTAAGGTTAAAGGCAGTACTGAGGCAAAGAGAGGGGTGGGTTGAATTGCATGTGCAGATCAAGGCTCTGCAGCCTCTCTGATAGTACTAGGTCAGTCTTTGTTATAACTTTAAGATGTTCACAAAGAACATGCAGACAAGTGGAGTATGCAGCACATAGCAAGAGAAAAGCTTAAGAGTCATGCTACTGGGTTAACCCAAAGAACACACATTGTGGAGAATACTTTAAAAACTAGTCTGTAGGCCAGGTCAGCACTACTCAGGGCACACTGCTAGTGGGCTTGACTACCTTCCATCATCAAATACCATGAGACTTGCATACAGTGGACATTATTGCTGGACACCTGGGTTCAGTACATTATAATTACACTCCAAACTGGGCTGGAACCAAAAGTTCTGAGCCACAGAAGCTTCCCTGCTCCAGTGAGCTGTCATTTTTTCCAGGAGGAACAAGCAAGGGGTGCATCATGTGCTGGTACAACTCCTAGCTAGGTCTGATTTCTAATGCTCATAAGATCTCCTGCAAACTCTTAGAAGCTCTGCTTGGCACCCAACACACACAGGGCTAATGATTTGTTTCTTTATACTAGGAAGAGAGCTATTTTTGTTTCATTTTAGAAGGTGCTTTCTTGAATGCAGCCACTTTTCTTTCAGAATCATTTAGCTACTCAGATTTAAGGGAATCCAGCTTATTTAGCTTGCAGATCTGGGCTGGGTCATGAAAGCTCAGACTCCTGCAGCAGCCTCAGCACATGGGAGGGAAACCTCTAGAGGAATCACCAGCTACTTACGTTTCAGGATATTTCTTCTCTCTAGCTCCTCCACGGCTGGTCTCTGGCTCAGCCTTCTGCGGAAAAACACTAAGATTATGTTTTGCACCATGGTGGCTTCCTGGAAGTTCTACCCAGGATCTGTACAATGAGAGGTGCCTGGCATACACCCCTGAAGTTCAAGATCACCTTCCAAAAGGGAAAAGAGAGTGGACCACTAGAACCTCTTGCTGGCAAAATCAAATCAGATTTTCCCTTCTGTGTGGGAGGGAAAGCTGGTCCACAGAGCCAGTGCTGAGGAAGTCCTTGCTCCACTCCACACCATCACTTGCCCCCTGCCTGGTATGCACAGTCCACCCAGCCACATGGATGTTTAAGCAGTGCAGAGATTCATTCAGGAAAGTCTTCTTTCTGCCCACTAGCTTAGGGAGAGGCAGGCAGTGCCGCCGCTGGGCTTCAGGCTTCTGGTTGCAGCCATACCCCCAGATTCTTGCTTCCAGGCACCAGCTCCATTCTCCATTCTCTGCACAAGAAAATCAGCTCAGGGATACAGCCACCTGCCTGCCAGGCTGAGAGGAACCTCCTCTGCTCTGCCCCACCCAGGGGGAGTGTCTAGGGCTAGCTGAGGAGCCTTGCCTCCCATCAGTGAGCACATAGCTCTAACACCAATGACAGCTGGGAATCTCCCAGCTAACTAGGAAGGGAACCGCCTACACATACACTTCCCTCCTCCCTTTCTCCCTCTAGCAGTGCAGATGAGTGTGCCAGTGTGCTGTGTGAAGACAAATTACGATTTCCTTTTCAGATGGTCTCTGGCTGGGGGAGTTGGAGGACGTAGCCCAAAAAGTAAAACATCAAAACCCTGCAAAACATAAACAAAGGGCTTGTCGGGAGAGGGAGGCATAATTAGACAAAATCAATGCCAAGCTCCAATTATTTTTTATCTAAAATAATGGCCTTCCAGAAGCTTTCCTACTTCCAGATCCTCAGCCACTATAGCGAGGCATCAGGGCTATAACATTTTGCCCCTATGAAAATCCTGTCTCCAGAAATACATCTATTTATATCCCTGTGCCAGCACAAAGACCAGAATGTTTGCTCTACACCTCCCTCCACACTGGAGCATGTTTGCTTTGGGCTCACAGAGAGCTTTGTCTTGTAGCTCTTTTAGGGTGCATGTGTGTGTGTGGGGGGGTCCACTGTATTCCTAATGTTCCCTGAAATTTGAAATTGGATCCTGACAACTGACAACCAGAGCCAAGAGTCTCCTAGTCTCCTCATCTCATCTGTCCTAGGTAATGCCTGCCAAACCTGGCTCCTGCTCTTTGCTGCTGTGACCCTAAACCCTCTCTAATGATCCTGGACTACCAGCTATGCATCAGACAATGTTCCAAGCCCCTGAAACACACTGCTGAGCCTGGAAGCTTTGGGAGTCCACTGTCCATAGTGAAAGGCAGATACACAAGAAAATCACCAGACATTTTACAAGGAATTGAGGGGTAAGGTATACGCAGGGCAGGGGAATCTGGGGAAGGTGCAGTTACACTGAGGCCCTGGTGACAAGAATGCTCACTTGCTGAGCTTGCAGACTAAGGGGAAAGGTAGAGATGAAATGACCACCTGCTGTAATTAACACCTAGGAGGTCCTGAAGGACATACTACACAAGCAGGCTGTATCTTGATAGTCCTGGGGCTGGAGAATAACATGGTATAAGGTGTTCTCCCATTCCAGCCTGCACAAGAAACACTCCAATGACTGTAGCATCATAGACAAAATGATAGTGCAGTAGAGGATGTGCTTTAGAAAAGGGAAAACAAACCCTGATGATCAGAGCTTTTCACTTTCTAGCTGAGTGGCCGTAGGCAGGGTATTTGGCTTTTTTGAACCTTAATTCTCACAATCGAGGAGCACTAAACAGATCTTCAAAAAGTGAAAAATAGTGTTTCGTAACATTTGCTTGGAATTAAGAAACCTTAAAAGAATTCACACACCTCAAGAGTGGCCTACCCAAGGGCTTTATGATCCTTGTGAAATCAGGATTTGGACCATCAATGCATAATTTTTGGTCTGATGTAAGTAAATTTTGTCTTCTATGAAAGTAACCCTAGCAGGGCATTGTTCCATGACACCTCATTATCTGTGAAGTGATCACCTGTGCCAGGCACTTCCTCCAAGCCCCAAATGCCATCGTCAAGCTTACCATCCAGCAGAAAACAAGCAGAGACCATAGGAGATTAGTGCATTGGACTGGGCCTAGAAACAGCAAAACTGCTCAGATTCTTCCTTCTTTCCTGTGTCCAGGGCCCTATCCACTGTGGTCCACCACACCAAGGCAGCTGAGCTGCCATGAGGCCCCTTGGCTGGTTAGTCTGAGTGTCTCACAGGACCAGGCACATCTGGCCCTGGGTAAGTTGCAACCCATCTTCCAAGCCTAGGGTGAACTCTTCTTTCCCCATGAGAGAATATGAAAAAGCTCAGCCCTAGGTCAGGTGAATACAGCCAGTATAAGCAGTGTAGCTTTGAACATTGTCACTATTATAACCTCTGTTGTTATTAGCTTCTCAACCAATGTTCATGGAATTAGATGGATGAATTTTTTAAAACTGGCATGTACTACCCACTCCAAGTACAAAACCCTGGAGATGGTTCACAGAGGCTTCTGACCACCTGAGCTTTAGCTCAAGGAACAGGGCCTGCACCCAAGCTAATCAGGTACCTCCCCTGCCTCCATCCCAACCCCAGCATCTGAGACCAGAACAGTATGAGAGGCTGTTAACCCTCCAGGTGTACATGTAGCAGATGGGAAACAAGTCATACACCTGGTCTCAATTCAGGCTACAGGATCCCTGGGAACAGGAACCAGAACCCAGAGCAGGATCCAAAGCAGAGAGGGCCACACCAGACAGTGGGCAGCATTCAAAGCAGGGATAGGCAAGCCTGACCTTGAAGCCTGGTGGTCAGGCTGAGGCATACAGACCTTGGCTGCCCATGCAGTGGCCACTTAGTCCATGAGGACATACACATTTTGTGGGCAGTACCACGGCCTCGGAAAGGAGGGTTGGGCTGAAGGAACACATCCCTTATGGCCCTAGAACTCTCCCAGAGAGGCAGCAACAGGTGTCAGTGAAGGATTAACAGAATGGGTGCTAGGTGTTCTCCCATCTCCTGGACTGCAACATCCAGTCTGGACAGTGCTACCACCTTAGTGCCAGAAAACAGCAAGAGACTGACCCAGCAGAAGTGCTCTTGGAGCCAAGGAGGCCAGGAGAACACAGAGGTGTAGGGCAGGCCTGTGGGCATCACATCCCAGTGGGATGCCCAGCTCATGGCTCTCATTGCCATTGCCCTGTCTGTGGTTTGATAATGACTTGCCACCTGTAACTGACTCCCCACAGTAAGTACAGCACCATGGGGGCAGGAGGACCCCCCAAGGAGAGAGGCATCCTGACACAATAGCATCCAGTATATACAGGAGGGATTGTTGGAAGCCTGGGAGAAACAGTGTGAGCCAGGGCTTTCTTTGCCCATTTCCAGGAGCATCACAGATCCCAGGTGTCTGTGAGTCCCTGTAGGACCAGGTGCAGGGGAGCCAATAAGACAGCGACTCTTCAGTGGCTTTCTGAGGCTGTCAATCTGAAAGTTACCTATAGCCCTGACATGTACTATGAGTCCAACCAGGAATGGGTCATCAGGGCTCAGGGAGGAAGAGATGGCAGAAGGAGAAGATGGTGAACTGGAGTGGAGGTAGAGATGGCCAATACACATTGGGTGCAATGCCCAACTGGGTGCTGATGGTAAAGGGGGTGCCTGTACCTGTCTGTGCAAGGCTGGCAAGCTTTTGTTCCACTGATCAGCACCTGTGTACTGACTTCTGAAAACCAGGCTCAGCTCTGGCCAGGCTGAGCCTGGCCTGGCTGAACCCCTGCCTCACCCCCTTACAGAGAGGAGCAGATCAGCACAGACTGAATGTGGGTAGACACGAACATTAAGAATGCTGTCCTCAGCTGTGTGGAGCCTTGGCCTTTTATCCTGGCAGCCTCTCTAGGCGTGGAACCATAGGCAGGGCTCCTACACCAGACATTCAGGTCCTCTGCCTCAAACATACTCCGAACTGACTCAGTCACACCACTTTCCCCATATATACTGTCCTCCATCAGACACACCCTCCTCCCTAAGGTGCTCATGTTCTCCATATTTCTCCATCATAGATCCATGCCCTGCCCTGCTCCATCATACCTCCCTCACCTCTGTCCCCCCCCCCCAGTGCCATTTCCATACCTGCAGGGCAGAAGGCACATGTACATGTAGAGTCCATGCTGGTTCCCTACACCTGTGCTTGCCCCACTCCAGCTCCCAAGCACCCATGCTGGCCTGTCTGCTCATGTACTTCTGGTCCAGCTGCTGCCTTTCTGCTCACCTTCAGTCTCCAACCCCACAACGCATCTGCTGAGAGCCACCGTCCCCTCCCAGGGTGCCCTTCCACTCTCCTGTCAGCTCCCTCCAGATAGGAGCATGAGGTAGCTCCTGACATTGTAGAAAGAGCACCAAAAGGGGGCTCCAAAGTGATCTGTGCAAGATGGCCTGAGGCTCCAAGGACAAAAATCCAGAGGTATCCATTAGGCCTTCTTGTCATCATGCACCCATGATGACCACAGTCCTCAGGATGCCATCACGAACGTGCTTTAAGAAAACACAAAGGCCACACAACATGGCCACTGAAGCCAGCCCTCAAGAGTTGCTGGCTTTGTGCATTCTTCCAAGCCTTTACTCTCTTCATAGGTTAGCTGCCCAGGGCCAGGGATGTCCAGAGTACCCCCAAGACCCTCCAGGCCACAAGCTGGGATAGTTGCACCACCTGGAGCAAGCAGCTTTTTGGGACCCACAGAAATGGTTCCACTTCATCATGACATGAGGTTGGGGGGGGGTCCAACCCATTATTGATCTTTCAAGGTTAAACAACAGGCTATTTGGCCTAAGAAGTAACTAATGGATGCCTACTTTAACAACAGGATATTATCTTGTCTTGATGACAGGATACTTGATTTAAGGTTTGGTTTCTTTATGTTTTATGTATTG